GTGGTGGACGGATTGTTGGCTCGGCGATGGTCGTCCATTGTCGGTGGGTCGGTTGGAGGAGCCAACGACTTCCTCAACACACCACCTCCCAGGCACGTGCTCCACGCCCTCACCCAGAGCTGCCGTGGCAGCACAAAGCAATCATCTCGACGTGGCCTTCTGTCTGCTGTGGGATACACCAATCTGGTGGATGTCTCGAAATTGGTTAAAAGCCCACAAGTGCAGGAGGGAATTGAAAAGGGAAAGAAGTATGTTTCTCGTGCTCTTTCCATGAGTCAAACATTCCTTCTGATGGTGGTTGCTTCTTAAATCTAAGCATCTTCATGCATTTATCGGTACAGCGGTTAAACATGTTCGGATGTTGACAGCGCTTTCAAATTGACAGATATTTTCCACAGCGAGTCTGTTGTTTGAGTAGGTACTCTCTGTCATAATGCTCATTGTGGTAATTTGAAAAATGTATGCTCAAGTTTCTGAAAAAACTGCATGCCAACCCCAATTGCACAGCAATTCTACGTGTTGTGAGTGCTGAGGATTCGCGAGTTATCACTACTGCTTTGCTGCTTTTAAAGTACATTCTGAGTTAAATTTTCGTGTTCCCTTTTGAACATGAATGCATGTAGGCCCACAAAGAATTCGTAGGTTGTGTTGGTATTTCTGCCACAATACTCACTATGACAACTCAAATTCCGCAGCAATTCTTCACTATTTGACACCTCTACGTGCTGCAAATACTCAGGATTTGCACCTTGTCACCGTCGCCTTGTTTCATTCGAACTTGTGTGGTCGTGAGTGGTGCGTACATGCGTGTGACTGATGAAACAGGCTTGGAAGACGATGCGAAGCAAGATGATGCATAAACCATCGCACAATTTTGACCAGATCGCCCTGGAAAAATGATACGGTAACGGCCCTTAAACATCTTGAGACGATGGTTTGCATTCTCTTTTTTAGAACTGTTAGTGATGAGGTAAAAAATCTAAAGATTTCGTCGAAACTGCCAAGTGAGAGTGAATTGGGTAAAGCACAAACTGATCTCGAGAAGGCAATTGACATTCTTAATCTAAATGTAAGTATAACTTTTAATAATGTCATTGATAACTTAATTCACTTCAGATGGCATAACAGTGTTTAAGCATAAATATATTCTGCGAAAATAAATCATTTCAGTTTGGCAGTCGTTGCCGATTCTCTTTAGTTAAAACTAACCCTCCCTACGTTTCTCCTTTCAGGCACTCATCAACTCGACGAATTCTAGCCTACTGAATCCTACATCTATTGAAAATCTTATTGCCCAACTGACGAATTTTTCGAACAACCAAAGTTTAACGAATAACTTTACAAATGGGATCAGCACCCTGAACGAAGTAGTCGAACAAATGAAAAATCTCCAACCGGAGATGAATAGCACGCGCGGTCATCTTCAGAAAGTTGAAGAAGGGAAAAGTGAAATTCTGCAACCTGTTAAAGGATTAATAGGGGCTTTCAATGCGACCATTAAAGTAAGTTGACATTTTATTAATGCAGCTACTTTTGCCGGTGGTGCTCCTGATGGTTGCTTGACAATAATCACTGAACTCGTTTAAGAGCCTAACTAGTCTTCTTCCATCGCATTGATAAAAACATGACTGAATCCGCAGTTGCTGATCCACCTTAAAGCAGCAGGCGCACGTACACAAACGTCACTAATTGCTCTGGCCCGGATGGGGTCCTAATTGAATTGTCTAAGAGGCATCCTTTCTACTAGGCCAAAAAGTGATTGGTTCCTAGTTGGTTGCATTTAAAGCACAAAATACTGAAAACCATAGACGTTTTTGTTTTGGTTTTAAGGTAAGCCATATCGTAGAAGCTGAAGATTGGATCAAGCTTACCAATAAGGCAGGTAAATTCCATATTATCGGTAGTTAGATATCATTGTTAAATGCGAGAAGAGTCCAACAATTACTGTACAAAGATGCGCAGTGATAGCGCCAATCTACTTCATCAGGTGACCACGCGAACATGGATTGTGAAATACACAAACACAGCCTTTCACAACTCCTTTTACCCAATTTAGACTGCTAGCAATGAATCTAAATTGACAGTTGAAGTTGAAAATCAGTACGACAAGGTGATCAAAGGACTACTTGAATTCATGGAGAATGACGATGGTGTGGCATTCTCCAAGCTCACCCAGGAACTCTTCCCCTGTGAGGAGGCCTACCGAGCAGTCAATGTGGCACTGGCTGTGTCCTGTGGTGACGAGGGCGCCCTCAATCGATTCGTCGGTGTGGTCTACGTCCT